AATTGACAATTTATTAAATTTTTTTTCAAATAAATGTAAAATGAATATGGAATTCAATGCTATCATAATCCAAACCTTCCAATTAGGTGAAATACAAGGGGTCTTCAAAAAGTTCAAGGAAATACATATTATGAAAAAATTATGCATGGACTGAAAAAATTTTTTTGCACCAAAGTAAATGGACATTAATTTGTCATAACATGTCTAAGCAGGATCTAGTTTGAGGTACTAAGAAGAATAAGACAGTGTGATAACAGCCCCTATCAGAGTAACATGAATTCTGCTAAAATTGAAGAAAGAACATCAAATTTATAGTGAAGCCTGGGTAGAAGAAAAGTGAAATCACTGATGCTTTATGAAAAGTTTATGGGGTCAATGACCCAGAGAAATCAGCAGTTTAAGATGGATAACTCGATGTAAGAAGTAATGAGATGACATTGAAAATAAAGCCCATAGCAGCAGACTATCCACATCAATTTGTCAGGGAAAAATGAATATTGTTTATGCCCTAATTGAGGAGGACTGACGATTAACAGTAGAAACAATAGCCAACACCACAGACATCTCAATTGGTTCAGCTTACACAACTCTTACTGAAAAATTACAGTTGACCCAACTCTGCTCTGCACATTGCATGCCAAAACTATTGCATGCAGATCAGCTGCAGACAAAAGCAGAGCTTTTAGTTATTAATTTATTTATACATTTTTATAGGGTGCAGAGTTGACTATCCATATTTGTGTACAGTATGTGATCAAATCAATATTATTAGCATGTTCATCATTACAAATTGTAATTACTTTTTGTGTCCCTTCCCCAGTTACTCCCTGTCTTCCCCCCCTCCCCCTTTCCCATCTCTAGTAACTATAGGTCTATTCTCTCCTTCTGAAAGTTCAGTGTTTTATTATGGTCTTTCTTTCTCTGTTTCTTAGCTCCCACTTATGAGAACATGAAGTATTTCTCTTTCTGTGCCAGGCTTATGTCACTTAACATAACTTTCTCCAAGGTCATCTATGTTGCTGCAAATGCCAGAATTTCATCCTTTTTTTATGTCTGAATAGTATTCCATTGTGTATATATATATACCACATTTTCCTTATCCAGTTGTCTGACATTTAGGTTAGTTCTGTATCTTGGCTATTGTAAATAGAGTTGCAATGAACATGGGAGTGCAAGTATCCTCCCGACATGATGATTTCCATTCTTTTGGATATATACCTAGAAGTGGAACTGCTGGATCTCATGGTAGTTCTATCTGCAGTTGTTTGAAAAAACTCCATACTGTTTTCCACAATGGCTGTACTAATTTACAGTCCCACCAACAGTGTAGAAGAGTTCCCTTTTCTCCATATCCTCACCAGCATTTGTTATTCTTAGTCTTTTTGATAATAGCCAGTCTAGCTGGGGTGAAATGATCTCTCAATGTGGTTTTGATTTGCATTTCCCTGATAATTAGTGATGCTGAGCATTTTTTCATGTACCTGTTGGCCATTTGTATGTCTTCCTTCAAAAAATGTCTATTCATTTCCTTTGCCCATTTTTTAATTGGATTATTTGTTTTTTTCACTTTGAAGTTTGAGTTCCTTGTATATTTTGGATATTAATCCCTTGTTGGATGTGTAGTTTGCAAATGTTTTCTTGCATTCCATAGATTGTCTTTTCACTCTGTTGATTGTTTCCTTTGCCGTGCATAAGCTTTTTAATTTGATATAATCCCATTTGTTTATTTTTTCTTTTCTTGCTCCTGCATTTGGGGTCTTATTCTTAAAGTCTTTGCCTAGTCCTATGTCCTGAAGTGTTTCCCCTATGTTTTCTTCTAGGAGTTTTATAGTTTCAGGTCTTATTACTTAAGTCTTTTATCCATTTTGAGTTGATTTTGGTATATGGTGAGAGGTATGGGTCTAGATTCATTCTTTTCCACATGGATATCCAGTTTCCTCAGCACCATTCATGGAAGGAGCTGTCTTTTCCCTAATGTGTGTTCTTGATGACTTTGTCAAAGATCAGTTGGCTGTAGTACCTCGGTTGATTTCTGGGTTCTCTATTCTGTTCCAGTAGTTCATGTGTCTGTTTTTATGATGGTACCACGCAGTTTTGGTTACTATAGCTTTGTAGTATAATTTGAAGTCAAGTACTGCAATGCCTCCAGTTTTATTTTATTTTTTTGCTCAGAATTGCTTTGGCTATTTGGGGTCTTTTGGTGTTCTATATGAATGTTAGGATACTTATTTCTATTTCTTCGAAGAATGTCATTGGTATTTTGATGGGAATTGCATTGAATCTGTAGATCACTTTGGGTAGTATTTTCACAATGTTAATTCTTCCAGTCCATGAACAAGAAATGTCTTTCCATCTTTTGGTGTCCTCTTTAATTTCTTTCAGCAGAATTTTGTAGTTCTCATTGTAGAGATCTTTTACTTCTTTGATTAAATTTATTTCTAGGTATTTTATTCTTTTAGTAGATATGGTAAATGGGCTTGCTTGCTTTATTTTTTTTCTTCTGCTAGTTCATTGTTGGTATATAAGAATGGTAGTGATTTTTGTGTATTTATTCTGTATCCTGCATCTTCACTGAATTTGTTTATCAGCTCTAGGAGTTTTTTGGTAGAGATTATGGGTTTTTCTATATATAGGATCATGTCATCTGTCAACAGTGACAATTTGAATTCATCTTTTCCAATTTAGATGCCCTTTATTTCCTTCTCTCGCCTGATTGCTCTGGCTAATACTTCCAATACTATGTTTAATAGGAATGGTGAGAGTGGGCATCCTCATCTTGTTTACATCAAAAGAATAGAAAGACTTCCAGTAAACAACTAACATTAAATCTCAAAGAACTAGAAAAACAAGACCAATCTAATCCCAAAACTAGCAGGTGGAAATACATCTTAATTAGCAGAACTAAATTAGAGACCAAAAGAATGATACAAAAAAATCAATGAAACAAAAAGTTGGGGTTTTGAGAGGATAAATAAAACAAACAAGCTACTGGCCAGACTAACTAAAAAAAGAATTGAGAAGACCCAAATAACAAAAATCAGAAATGAAAAAGGAGACATTACAACTGATAACACAGTAATACAAAGAATCATTACAGATGATTATGAACTATATGCCAACAAATTCAAAAACCTGGAGGAAATGGATAAGTTTTTGGATACATACAAACTACAAAGACTGAACCTAGAAGAAATACAAAACCTGAACAGACTTGGTAACAAGCAACAAGACTGATGCAGTAATCAGCAGTCTCCCAACAAAGAAAAGCTCTGGACCAAACAGCTTCACTGCTGAATTCTACCAAACATTTAAAGAAGAATTAACACCAGTGTTTCTCAAACTATTCCAAAAAATTGAAACAAGAGGCTATATTCTAAAATTCATTCTATGAGGCCAGCATCACCCTGATACCAAAACCAGACAAAGACACAACAAAAAAAGAAAGCTACAGGCCAATATCCTTGATGAACTTTGGTGCAAAAATCCTCAACAAGATATTAGCAAACAATACAATAGCACATCAGAAAGATTATACACCATGATCTAGTGGTATTCATCTCAGGGATGTAAGGATGGTTCCACATATGCAAATCAATAAACATGACACACCACATCAACAAAATCAAGGACAAAAACCTTATGATTATCTCAACAGACACAGAAAAAGCATTTAACAAAATTTTAGAATCCTTTCATGATAAAGACCCTCAACAAATTAGGTACAGAAGGAAAATATCTCAACATAATAAAAGCCATATATGACAAACCCACTGCCCAAATCATCCTTAATGGGGAAAAACTGAAACTTTTCCTTAAATCAGAACTTTTAATGGAAATTTTAAACAAGTGGAATCAAGATCCTGAAGCATTTCTTCAATGAATTGTAAAAGGAGATGAACTATGGCTTTACCAGTAAGATCCTGAAGACAAAGCAAAATCAAAACCATGGCTACCAAGAGGTGAAAGTGGTCTAGTCAAAGCAAAAGTGAAACAACAAAGGTCATGGCTACAGTTTTGGGGATGCTCAAAGCATTTTGCTGTTGACTTTCTGGAGGACCAAAGAATAACATCTGCTTATTATGAGAGTGTTTTGAGAAAGTTAGCCAAAGCTTTAACAGAAAATGCCTGGGAAACCTTCACCAGAGAGTTCTTTTCCACCACAACTATGCTCCTGCTCATTCCTCTCATTAAACAAGAACAATCTGTGAGAGTTTCAATGGGAAAATCATTAGGCATCTACCCTGCAGGACTGATTTGGCTCCTTCTGACTTCTCTTTGTTTCCTAACCTTAAAAAATCTTTAGAGCCCCTATTTTTCTTTGGTTAATAATGTAAAAAAGACTGCATTGACATGGTTAAATTTCCAGGACCCTCAGTTATTTAGGAAAGAACAAATGGCTGGCATCATCACCTACAAATGTGTCCTGAACTTGATGGAGTTTATGTTAAGAAACAAAGTTTATGTTTTTTATTTTTAGCTTTTAATTCCATTTCTACAAAGTTTTTGAAGTCCCCTCATGTAAACCAACATAATTTCATTTGCTTGTTATAATGTCACATTGAAATTTACACAACTGAAATTAGCTACAATTTCCATTTTTTCAAAACCTTAATTTGAATCCAAAGAAATCAGGTAATGACCACTTCAATTGGATGACCGTCTACAAAATGAGTGTTATTAGACACTTGAAATATAATATGAAATAAATTTATTCCAATCACAACCATAATTATATAACTTAAGATAAAATAAAGTCTTTGGGGGAAGAGGGGAGGCAGGAAATGACATATAAAATGTATTTTAAGTTAAAAGCCATAGTAAAGACTTTATCAGTATTCAATCCTATAATTATAGTCTAAATAAAAAATACCAAGCAGAATGTTTAAGTTCTTTATAGCTAATTTGTCACTCTAGTATTTTTCATATATGTGCAAAGTAAAAAAATTTTTTTAAATAAAAATGTTCCAAATGACCTTTTATAAGATGGAAAATTTGCTTACCTCTTCCCTATGATTCTTAATTGGCATACAAAGAATACTTTGTGTCTTGTAGCCTGTAATTTGGTCAACTTCTGCATTGAACCGAGGATCCTAGTAAGGAAAAAGAAATTCAATTTAATGACTGATCTGTTCAAAGACTGATTTGATTTTCTGATATATTAGATTAGAGAAATCTAACCTTTGACTTACCTTGTTAACTATGAGTAACAATTTTATTGCTGTAGAAGGCATCAAATCATGTAAGTATAAATCTTCGTACAAGATAAATTTAAGTGTTTTTTTTAGCAGCTATTTTTTATGAGAAACAAAAAAATACAGACCTGAACAAAGGTTCAAAAATACAGAAAATTCAATATATTGGATAGCCTTACTTAAATTCAGAAAAAAGTGGCATCTCTCTACCTCTGTAATACAATTTGGCTGTCTTCATCTCACCAGTGTTCTACTGTGTCATCCAAAGAAAAGCATCTCTGCTCTAAAACTTTTTCTAAAAACCTATCACCTCCAAAATGACCTTTCTAATAAATGACCTTGTTTCCCTTGCAATGGTTGTTTTTACATTTCCTCAGTATTCTGTACTTCTATCTCAGGTATGCATAAGAACTTAAATTTTTGGTATATATATATATAAAATGCATGACTCAGTTGGCTTATAAACAATTCCTTAATCTTTTGAATCTCTTTCCTCTTTATAAAACACATTACAAGTATGCATTTCAATAATCGCAACCGATTTGAGAGTTGCAAAAGTCCTAAATGTGAATTAAAGAAAAAAAAGCTTAATTTTCCATTAAGCTTTAGATAGAGAAGATCTAAAATTAGGCCGTAAACTCCGTGAGGACTTTTATTATTTTGGTTTGTTACTATACTCCCAGTACTTAGCACAGGAACTCAAATGAATTTGTTAAACAAATGAAAAACTTCATTAACAACTGATACTACAATTATCAAATGTGATCATTTTTAGCTTATTATAATTTAAAGCAAATCTTGTTGGAAACCAAAGTAGAGGAATGGACAGATACAACTACATGAGGTAAGATTGGAATGGAAACAAACATTCCAGAACATAAACATCTGAATGAGTGTTGTTCCCTTCATAGCAATAACCTCGGGAAGTTACATGTTTAACCTAATAATAACATCACTGCTCTAAAAAGCTCTGTATTTGGAATTCCCTTCAGAGAATACGGAATATTCGCACTGGAAAATCCTCATCTCTGGAAGGTCATTTCTATTTTTTAAAAAAATTAGTCTAAAGTCATGCAAAGCCAAGGCTGTAAAAGAAGTAGGTGACTACACTAGATTTCATCAATTGGGGTCAGAAATGAGGCCAACTTTCTCCTGAGAGGGCCAAACTTGGCTTTAAAGATCATTTCAAAAGAAAAGTTACAAAATGGTGGAAAATCAATATAACTACTTTATGTTATAAATAAACACTACTGCATTTTTTCCTTTTTCTGCAAACATGCTCAAAGTTATATTAAGACAGAAAAAACCTTAGTTGAATGTTTCTAATAAAACAGGTCTTATTTTTACCTTTAGATATTAAAGGTATCTAAAGAAAGCAGACAAGATACTGACATTGTTGTATTATTACCATATTATTTTACAAACTAATAATTAAAACGTGAAGAAAGTGCATCCTTAGCAATGATTTTGTTAAAGAATATTTGAATTACAAGACAATTATAAAGAAGAGGATCTACCCAACTATCTAATCAAAGCAGTAGAGTTTGACAAACGTTAATTAGTAGGACTTCACAGCTTTTTTGTGTCTATTGTTAATTTAAAATCAACAGCAGTCCTAGATTTCACTCTTCTTTAAAGTGGGTGGGAATCATACATCCTTCAAATTCACTTTATGTTGTAAAAGAAAAATGTGAGATAGAATAAGATTTTAAAGAGTTTACTGAAGTTAGTAGCAAGTCATGAGTTGGGGAACACCAGGCTGAAAGAGGTTTAGTGTACCAATAAAAAATTGTCAGGGGCAAGTATTATGGGGTAAATGAGGAAGCAAAATAAAGAAATTATTTGATTGGTTGCAATTATGCAGTTGCCTTATTTGGTCTATCCCATTGGAAAGTCCCTAGTAACATAATTATAAGTTTGCTGGCTACTTCTGACTGGTTGAGCTTAAGTTCTATTTTTCTTTAATATGAGCATTTAAAAGAAATAGCTCAAGTTAAGTTTTGCTTATTTCTGCAAATCAAGCAAGGTAGAGGTCACTTATGAGGCCTAAATGGTTTTGTCTGCTAAGTGACCCTTGGTCTCCATTTTAATTAACTTTAACCAAGTGAAGTTCCAATCTCCTGGCACACTGAAGAGTGTTCCTTTAACAATATGCTCAGTGCAAAGACAATATAAATAGAGGACACCTAACCCCTATAGGTCCAGGAAACACCAAAGAAAAAAATGGAACACTATTATTATTGTGATTATTCCTTTCACTGTTTATGAGAACATGACAGTATGAAAAAACACAAAATATGAGACAACAAAGCCACAGACAGTGCAGAGGGAAAGATACATCACTGCCATGCAGTATTCTGACTTTCTGCCTCGGAGCATTCTCCTGCTCTGGTGAAGGCAGGTGCTACCCAAGCCAAGCAACAGTTCCAAACAGAACTGAAAGAAGTTCCAAATTTCTGAAGTGGCCAGAATTTGTAAAGCAAAGTAGAGGGGCTCTGCTGTGTGGGTGGGGAGAGGGTAAAGAGGGGTAGAGTAAAGAAGACGGAGTGGCTATTCACTTTGAACACATAAAGGACTAGCAAAAATTACCTGCTGAAGGCTGAAAGCTGAATAATGATACGAGTTAAGGAAGTGTTTGGAGGCACTGAAGTTCCAGCCCAGCCAGAGTAGAGAATTCACTCTAAGCAACTCAGGCATTCAATTGAGGCAGGGAAAGGTCACTCTTTAAGGTTAAGGACTATACCCTATAGTCTAGGTACTCCCTAAACCTAAATTCAAAACTAGTAATAGGTCCCCCCTAGTAAATTATAAGACCAAGCCTGACAGGATCAAAAGGATCTGCCAATAATTTTACTGCCTCCCAGAACAAACCTCATCCCTATTTTAAAGGAAGAGGATACAATCTAAATGCTCTGTAGTGAAACACACGCAATTTCCAGCATACAATAACAAATTACTACACATCTGAAGAAATGGAAAATGCAACCCACAGAAAAAAGAAAAAGTAGTCAATAGAAAATGACCCCAAGATGATTCAGATGTTGGAATTAACAGACAAGGACTTTAAAGCTGTTATTATAAGTGTATTTAAGAACATAACGGAAAGTATGGCAATAATGAAGGGATAGGAATCAAAAATAGATAACCAAATGGAAATTCTAGAACTGAAAAGTATAATGTGTAAAACAAAAAGTTCACTGATGGGTTTAACAGCAGACTGGAAACAACAGAAGGATCAGTGAACCTGCCGCAGATCAACAGAAATTATCTATTTATAAGGACTAAGAGGAAAAACAACTATAAAAAGTTAACAAAGTCCTGATGTTTTCTGGAACAATATCAAGTGATTTAATATGCATATGATAGGAGTCCTAAAGAGAATAGAGCCAAAATATATTTTAAAATATGTGACCAAAAATTTCCCAAAGCTGACAAAAACTTAACTTATACACCTGGTATGAAAATGCTATACGGGGTGAAACATACACATGAAAACAATGCAAAGGATGGCTGACCTCTCATGAGAAAAATGAGGAGCAGAAAAGAATGGGCGAACTCTTTTAAAATGTTGGGAGAAAACTGCTATCAACTGAGAATTGTTTATCCAGTGAAAATATCCCTCAAGAATACAGGCAAAATAAAGGCATTTTCAGATAAACCAAAACTGAGAGAATTTGTCACCAGCAGATGTATTATGAGAAGTGCTAAAGGAAGTTCTGCAGTCTGATGGGAAGGATATTAGAACCTACAGAATAAAGAGCTAAGAAGTTGGCTTGAGCACAAGTAAATATACATAGAATAAGGAAGCTTGGTGCTTCAATTGTGGAAAAGGAAACACCCAATGGAGAAAAGAGGAAGAAAAATAGTGCATCTTGAGGTGCTGAACTTAAATTGGAGGTATCAGTATGAATTCATTGTTTTTAGTATAGTAAGAAAATAGATCTGGAAATAAATAAAATATAGGTGTGTACGTATATTTGTATATCTTTTCCTAGCTTTGTCTGTTGATATAGCAGCAACAATGGGCGTAAACCAGAAGCAATGAGCACACCTAGTGCCCCATCTTGGCTTCTAAACACCATTCCTTCCACCAACAGGAACTAGGGCTCCTTGGAAAAAAGAATGGTTCCAGGGCTAGGGCAGGGAAAGTATAAGATAAGCCTCAAACATTTTAATAGGCCAGAAAGTTAGAAAACACCCAAAAAAGTGATGAGGATGTATCAAAAAGACACAAGAGTCAGCAAATCTGATATAATTTGAGTATCAGAATAAATGAAAATAATAAGAAATCATAATTCATTAAGTTAAAAAATCCACTGGTCCATACTGATATAAATGAAAGAATGAATAAATGAATAAAGGAGAAGGCAAAACTCTTCCTTACATTAGAATGCCAGCTAGTAAATATAGAAGGTATGATGGAGTTAGAAAATCAGTGGATGCTAAAACTGGTTAAGTGTAGGTTGTTAAGGAACAGAATTATTTACACAGTCTCAAAGTATCTCCCCATATGATACTTATAAATTACAATGGGGAAAACTGTACCTTTATATTGGAGAAATCTGTTGAATACCACTTTAACCAAGTTATCATATTTAACAACATCAATACAGATGCTCCTTGACTTACCACAGGGTTACATCCCAATAAGCCCATCATTAGTAGAAAATATGTTAAGTCAAAAATGCATTTAATACCCTGACAAATGTATCTTTAAAGTCAAAAAATCATAAATCAAGCTACTATAAGTACTGAGGTAAACTTACATCATATGCCCCCTGATAACATACACTGAGAAGGTCTGTGGTATAATAAAAAATGTATTTGGTCTTTGTACCCAATTCCTGGCACATACCTCCTAAAACCCATGAAATTTCTTGAGTGACAGGAATGTATTT